TCCCCAGGACCCGCTCGTCAGGGCCACTTCCCCATGAGGACCTTGAGGCACTTGCCTGCCCAGGGTAGGGATGGAGATGGAGGGTCGTGGCCATGGCTCATGTGGCACCGGGCTTGCGGCCACTGGGACAGCTGCCCTTGGTGGGGACCATCGTGGCCGTCCTTCCCCGGCAACCGTCGTGGGAACAGGACCGGCACATTCCTTCAGAGCGGGACGCAGTGAAACCGGATAGGAGCATGGCTGGCAGAGCATGTCGCAACCGGCTCCAGTGAGCGCCTTCCCAAAAGGCTCTAAAATGTGGCTTTGGGGATGGACAGATCCACGCCTGGAAACATCTAGGGGGGGGAGGACAACAGCAGCAGCTGGGCACCAGAGAGGAGCTGGGCTCCCTTGCCCATACATGCGGGGTGAGCTGGGGCTGGACGTGGGTGTGGACACATCCAGAGGACCCGCAGAAGTGGACCTGGTGCTCCCATGACACCAGTGCCACATCCCTCTGTCCCCAAAGTGGTTCACGGCTTGCCCAGAGAAGTGGCATGAGCAATGGTCCCCCTTGACCTCTGCTCCTGGCTTGTAGCGGGCTGGATTTTCTCACCCATCCCCACATGCTGAGATGCCGCCGCTGTTACTTCCTGGCTTGCGGGCAGCCACCACATGTGGTGCCATCCTGGGGTCCCCACGTGGGCACTCCCAGGTCCTTCAAGCTGGCGGATTCCCTGCAGGAAAGGGGCTGGAACTGCTGCACTGAGGGATGTGTCAGAAAGGCTCTTGTCCTGTGTGCTTGCCCACCTGGTGCTGACAACCTGCCCCGCCTGGGGACCCGTGCTGCCTCCTGCCCCTGCGTCCATAGGGTGCCCAGCAACCTGCTCCTGTTAAAGCTGTTGGTAAACTCAGTTTCCCAGCTGGGATGCTGCCAATGGGGGGGGAGGGGAGAGCTGGGGGTAAGAAACTCCAATTGCAGCATGCTGGCAGGAGCATCCTGTGCATCTGGAGGCAGACCAGAGCAGGTGAAGCCCAAGTGCTGGGATCAGCCTGGGGAAGAGATGGACTCCCCAGGCTGATCCCAGCAGAGCCGGGCTTCAGCAGGGACCACTGTGCTCTTGTCCCACATGGGGCTCGTGCCTTTGAGATGGGTTGTTTGTGCCTGGGATGCTCAGCTGTTGTGTTGCAGTAGAGTGGTGCATGCTCTGTTGTGGATGGCACATCTGGATGTCACCTTTAAGTGGGCTGGGGACACCTCAGCCAGCCTGGCTGTGCTGACAGCACCTCACTGGGACATTCCCTTCCTTTCCCTGCAGAAACAGGCTGGAAAAACACATCCCATGGGAATGGGATTGTGGTGCCAGGCAGAAAGATGCTAGGGGGCAGCTGGTGGCTTTCCCAGCTGAGGTTTTGCCTGCTGTCCCTGCGCCCCTGCATCTGGCACGGCCCATGGGCTGTCACCATGCAGGGAAGGTGTGATGCAGTGTGACAGACAGGGATGAGACAGTGCGAGTGCCACCTCACTAGAGCTGCTGGGCCGGTGACAGCCCGGTCACTGAGTGCCAGCTCACGCGCAGCCAGGCATGTAATCTGCTTATGGGGGCACCGGCACAGCCCCAGGCTCTCGCTGCAGTAAATCCCTGCTCCCACTGGGAGCACAGGATGGGATGGTTGGAAAGCGGTGGATATTGTAGGAGAGCTGTGCTACACCAGGCAAGGGGGTTTGGGGGGTGAGGGGCACTGCTGATGGGGTGCAGAGTCCAGCCACGCTGGTGGGCTGGTGGATGGGGTGCTGCAGCCTGTGATGGGGGGGGAAAAGGGGCTGCAAAGTCATCAGGGAGGTGTGGTGCCATCCAGGGGTGGTGGTACTGCTCCCCTGGGACTGGGCTCAGCAGGGATGGCTGAGGCCAGGCAGGGACAATGGGGTCTCTGCCACCGGTGTTGGGTGGCCTCAAAGGTGGGTGGGGGGAGATCCAGTGCTGGGGTTAGGAGCGTGGCTGGGACCCAGGGATGCTGGGGACGGGCACATCCACGTCCCTCTCCACGTCCGGCAGGTTTGCAGTTCATTGCACCTGTCCTGACCCCAGCTGATGCTTTGGGGCTTTTTAAGTGCTTTCCTGGTGAATGCAGCGCCTCCGTGGTCAGGCAACCCAGGCTCCATGCCTGAGCTGCTCTGATGCATCTTGATATGCATCAAGGTGAATCACCATCCCAGGTGACCCCCGGCAGTGACAGCCTGGGTACACTGGCTGCCACCTGCAGCTCCTCCTGCGGCACCGTTAACCCTTTGCCTACCCAAGGATGAGCCAGGGAAGCTGATGCAGGACCACTGGAGCTCCTGCCAGGGAGCCCTACGGTGGGCATCATCCCTGCTTCTCCCAGCCCAGGGTTGGGTCCTTCCCAGCTGGACCCAGCAGGCCCAGCTGGACCACTGAGTTGGAGCTGTGTGGGGAAGCTTTAATTTTTGGGTGCAAAAATGTTGAGTTTTCAAACAGGCTTTCATAGGAAACCAGGTTTCTCCCCTTGAAGAGGCTGGGGGGCCCTGCCAGGGCAGCTGTGGGGCGCTCTGGGGTGGGGAGCGGGAGAGGACCTGGTGTGCACTGGGATGGAGGAGGTTTTTGTCCTGAGGTGGAGGAAGGTTTGTCCTGGGATGGAAGTGTTTGCCAGGGCTGAATGTCCTCCTGGTCTGTAGCCAAGCTGTGTGCTCAGTGTAGGGGGACTGCTGCTGGTGGTGATGGTCGTGGTGGTCATGTAGCCCCCCAGGACCTGCATTGTCAACAGTGCTTTGTTGGTCCTTGATATCTCAACAACTGGGCAGCAGCTGGGTTTGGCTCTGCCCTGGGGCTCCCTCTCCCCTCCTGTGCCTCTGACACTGGTCCTGCCTCCCAGCACCCACAGGGGCTGTGTGTGGCTGCTGGGTGCTGTGGGCACCCGGGCCACGGTGCCTGCCCAGGGTGGAGTTATGCTAATGCCACTCCCCATCCCTCAGTGCAGCCGGTGCCGCCTGGCATTCTGTCACGGGCAATGCCTGCTCTGCCATGGCCGCCTGCCCCGAGCTGCAGCCTGGGCAAGAGGTATGGGGGCTATGTCCCTCCCTGGTGGGGTGACAGAGGGGGCAGACAGGGATGGGGGGACCCGGCACCACCTCAGTGCTGCAGGGAGGTGCCACAGCTGATGCTCCATCCCCAGGACAGTCTTGCTGGGGGATGCACTTGCTGCAGGACCCCCGAGGATGCTGTGCAAACTCCACTATGCTGCAGCATCACTGAGGACATTGGCTTCTCTGGGGTGAGGGAC